AGACTTGCTTTGGTCCCATTCCTTTGAATCTCCATTTGTAACTTTTGGAATGGAGATGTCTAACTTGTGCCACTGAATGTTGGAAGTGTTCAACTTTCTTTTCTTTTGTACAGAGGCTCACAGCTAAGAGTTTGCCTTAAATTTCAGAGGCTTGGGACTTGAACTTTTCAGCAGTGCTGAAACTGTTAGGACCTTGGCAACTGTCAGAGATGAACTAAATGCCTTTTGCATAAAGGGATGTGCATGAGTCTTTAGAGGGCCAGGAATGTTACAGTTTGTGTCTAGATGTCCCCCAAAGCCCCATGCAATCAAGGGGGGCAGGCTTTTTCAGAGGGAGCTGAATCTAGAGTTTGTGATGTGGGTGTGGGTGCTATACTCATCCTAGGGCAAGTAGCCTGAATACAATATAAGGGAGAAAAATAGGCTTGCTCTTCCCTTTTGCACTTGTTTTTGCTGTCCTCTGCCACTGTGAACTGTCACCCCTCTGTCCCCTCCCTGTCTTAGAGCCAGCTGATTATGCATTGAAACCTCTACAAACTATGAGCTAAATAAACCTTTCCCTCTTTAATTTGGAGTGTTGGGTATTTTGTCCCAGCAATGAGAGATAAGTAATGAAGACACATACCAAAGTGTTATTTATGATGGTAAGTATTTTAAAGCATTAGAAATCTTTATTTAATCTGCACATAGTGGTGCATGCCTGTAATCCCAGCACTCGGAAGGCTGAGGCAAGAGGATTGCCATGAGTTCAAGGCCAGCTTAGGCTATATAAGGGAGTTTAAGGTCAGCTTGCACTGTATAATGAGACTCTGTTCCCAAAAAAACAAAACAAAAACAAAAACAAAAAAAATCTAACTATAAGGAAGTGGTTCAACTGGGATACCCACTGGGATAATATAAAGCCACTCAAAATCATACTTCAGAAGACTATTGTGATGGAAGGACATGCTCATAATCTACAAAAGTAATTAAATTTTTAAAATTTCCATTAATTTTGGTGCTGGGACTTGAACTCAAGGCCTACGAAATCTGTGCACTATCACTGAGCTATACCCTCAGCTCAAAGGAAAAAAATTGTTTATAAAATAAAATATATTAAGAATAAGTCTTAGGGGAGGCTGGGGATTTAGCTCAGTAGTACAGCGCCTGCCTGGCAAGCGCAAGGTCATGAGTTCGATTCCCGGTACCAGAAAAAAAAAAAAAAAGAGTAAGTCTTGGGGCCAGGGATATAGCTCAGTGGCATGGCACCCACCAGGCAAGCGTAAGGTCCTGGGTTCGATTCCCAGTTCAAAATAAATAAATAAATTTACAAAAGGAATGACTCTCAACTTTGGGATATATTTACAATGCATATACCCAAGTAAAAAAAATTGGATATCCTTGTGCACCAAGATTTTAGATGATGTTTGTCTTCTTTCTACTTTTCTGTTTGCTCCAATTTTCTACATAAAATATCTGTATTACTTTAACAGGTAGCAAAAGCTGGGTATGATGGCACACCCTATAATCCCAGCACTCTGGCAGGCTGAGCAGGAGGATCACAAATTCAAGCCTAGTCTGTGCAATTCAGTCATTTAGTGAAACTCTGTCTCAAAATTAAAAATAAAAAAGGGCTGGGAAGGTAGTGCATAGATCCTGGGTTCAATCTCCAATATCTTAAAAATAAACAGAAAATGCTTTTTAAAATAAAATACATGATAAACTGATTACTTCAAATAGATTTGAAACTCTTCAGCAATCCAGATCTACGTCAGCAAGCTAACTAGGAGATCAGTAAATATCTACATCACATTAGTTTTGTGTCTTCTTTTATTATTTTTTTAACTGGGAACTGAACTCAGGGCTTTCACACTTACCTACATCCACAATCCTTTTTTATTTTTTTTATTTTGAGACAGGGCCTCACAAAGTTGCCCAGGCTGGATTCAAACTTGAGATCCTCCTGCCTCCACCTTCCACGGTACTGGGATTACAGGCATGAGCCAGCACACACAGCTACATGTTAGCTTCCTCCTACTGTGCAATAAGCTGTCACAAATTCAGCAGCTTAAACAATCTGTGACTACCAATATGTGAAGCAGAAGTCCAAGCAGTTTAACTGGTCCCCTGCTCAGGGTCCCACCAAGATGGGATGTAGTCAAGATTCCAGCCAGGTTGTGCTCTCACTTAAAGGCTTAGCCCGGGGAGAGTCTGCTTAGTTTACTGGCAACATTAGTTTCCTTGTGCTGTAGAACTGAGCCCCCTGCTTCCAGCTGGTTATCCTGGGAGCCTACCCTCAGCTTCTAGAGGCCACCTAAGCACTAAGCACATATGCCTCCCCAAAACTGCCATTTACTTCATGAAGTCAACAAACTGTAAACGAAGACCCCAGCAAGATGGGATTTTATACACCACAATATAATAGTGGAAGTGGCATATCCTGTGTGTTAGGGGAAGTCACAGGTTCCACTCACTCTTGGGCCTGGAGGATTCTGCAAGGCCATGAATATTAGCAGACAGGGATCATGATGGGACCACCTTAACAGAGCTGTCCATTATACCCAGCTTCCCAGTTCAATGCCCAGGCGAAGAAGGGAGGCTTGAACTTGGATCAGTTGATCACTCACAAGCAAAACCACCCCGCTCTCTGCATTGCAGAGACAGGGTAGTACTGTAGGAAGAAGTAAAAGGAGAGTTCACCAACGGCTGGAATTAACAGAGAATTGCAATATAAGGGGTAGGACTTGCACCAGCTCTGAATGAAGGTTAAGATTTAAGTCAACAAGAAGGAAAAAGAAAGGGAGATGTTTCCTCTGAAATAAGGAGTGGCAGAGAGGCAGAATTCTAGAAATAAGTTCTAGAGAGAGCTCGTTGGATATGGCTATGATTTGCATGAGTTTCCCCAATGTGCAAATGTAAGGGCTGGTCCCAGCTTTGAAGAGATGGGACCTAGTGAGAGGTGCTTAGCCCTCAAAGGTCACTGCAGAACTGGGGTCTCTCTGATCCTCTTCCTCTCTCTTTCTCTCTCTCTTTCTCTCTCTCTCTCTCTCTCTCTCTCTCTCTCTCTCTCTCTCATTCCCCCTCTGCTTCTTGGCTCAAGATGTTGACTGCCACTTCTAAAATACACCCCTGCCATGTGCTGCCCTCACCAGAGGCCCAAACACAAGGACATCACCCAATCTTGGGCCTGAACCTCCTGAACCCTGAGCCAAAATAAGTCTCTCTTTACTTTGTAAGTAGCTTGCATTGGTATGTTGTTACAGCGATGCAAAGCTGACTAAACTATATGGTTTGTTCACAACAAATACAAACCACATGTGATGTCTAGCTTCACATTATACTAGGTCCCATGATAACCAACACACTTGAAAAACCTATGGAGAAGACCAGAAAGTAAATGGCAGTACAGATTCTGGCTCACTCTGCAGCAACGACATCAATTAGCCTTCCTAGTGTGGTGAATATTAGTAACATTTATCAGTATTCACTTTTCCTTACTCTATGACATAGGAGATTCCACCTCCTTTCTCCATTTGAAAACAAATATGGTCAGAATGACTCCTTCTGACCAATGAAATGTGAGCAGGTAGGTCAGAGGTGCTTCCAAAGCAATTAACTGCTCATGCAAAAGTCTCCATACTCTAAAAGCATCCATACATAAACCATTTAAGAAGTAATTTTGCCAAATTTCCAGGGGACAAAATATCCTCTCTTTCAAAACTATCACAGAAAGGGTGAAGGACAACCTTGACAACAAATCTGAGTAAGGGAAACACAGGAAAACATCATCTCTGGCCAGTTCCCCTTATGAACATGTATGCCAGTCCTAACAAAATGCTAGCATATTGTATCAAATAGCATTATTTAATGCAGTACATCATGACAAAATAGATTTTACCCCAAGAAATCATGGTAGCTTAAAATTTAAAAATTAAAATATTTCATCTCAGAGTTTAAAGAAGGAAAACATAAAATTATCTAATTAAATAGAACATTTAACAAAAATAAAAATTTATGATTTTTAAAAAGCTTTTATGAAACTATTAGATGAGACCATCTGTAATCTAATAAAAGAAATCTACCAAAACACAATAACAAAGTTCACAATTAAGGCTTTTTTAAGATTCCTTTTACATGAAAAAGAATACAAGGATAATCTTATCCAATTAATATGCAACTTTGTCTAGTGGGCCAAATAAAGTAAGATTAAAGAAATAAATGAAAGATATCAGGAAAAATAAATAAGAGATATATAGGAAGAAAGAAATTAAATTATTATTATGTACACAGACAAACAGGGGACTGATCCATACCATTCGTGAAATTTGTTTGATTCTCAGTATAGCACTGCAGATCACTAGGGAAAAGACAGTTCTCAATAAATGGTAATGGCACAACTGGTTAGGGATTGGGAAAAATTCTAAAATGGATCTGTTCTTCCTATCTCATAAAAATAAGTTCTAAGTAACATATAGAAAGTAATATTTAACTTTTTAAAGGTAAGAATATCTTTTGACCTTGAAGGAACACAAGATTTCTCAAATTAGACTCAATAACCACAAACCATAAGAAAAAGTTGGATAAATCTGACTACATTAAAATTAACATGTTCATCAAAACAGCATTTTCAAAAAGATAAAGAAGAGGACACAAAAACAGAATCCAGAATATATAAAAATTTATAAAAAGTACAGCCCAAACAACCAATGGGATACAATATAAGATTACAATGTGGGCCAGTGATATAGCTCAGTGCACAATGCCTGTATGGCAAGAACAAGGTCCTGAGTTCAAAAAAAAAAGATTACAATATACAGGAAAGGAAACCCCAAGTAGCCAAAAAAAATGGATGAAAAATCCTCAAACACAGTAGTAATCAAGGAAATGCATATTAAAATAGAGATATTTCATACCTACAGGACTGATACAATTAAAACACCTAAAGATACAAAGGATTTGTGAAAATGTGAAGAATTTGACTACAACAGTAAGGTTGTGATCCCATAATCCTGGGCACATACCTGGCTCTCTTCCACCTGCCAGCACAGAGGAAGGTGAGTCAATGTGATGTGGCAACCCGTGGAAGGAGCTGAGCACTCACAGGGGGAAGCTGGAAGTGGAAGTCAGATACAACAACATCAGATGCCAGTCTTGTCCAGGAGGTGAAACTGGGAATCAGAACCAAACTGGGCAAGTTGCACCAAACTGCAGTGTGCCTTTTTATCTTCTAAAGCCAATGTAATCACCTCTTTTCCTCCTTTGAACAGCTCAGACTGCACACAGCAGAGTCCCAACTTGTATCAGTTTCCTATTGCTGCTGCAACCAACTTCCTCAAACTTAGTAGTTTAACACAACATCTATCCTCTTACATTCAGAAGGTCAAAGTCAGGCATGGGTCTCTCTAACTGAGAATCAGTGAATAAGCTCTTCTCTAGAGGTGTTAAGGGAGAATCCATTTTCTCGCCTTTTCCCAAGGCTGCCCATGTTCTTTACCTCACAATCCCCTTCTATGTTTGAAGCCAGAAAGAGTGGCTAGAATTCTCACCTCAAATCACTGACCCTGCCTTTTCTGCCTCCCTCCTCCACTTAAAAACCCTTATAACTACTTTGTGCCCACCTAGGTAATCCATGATCATTCCTACTTTAAAATCAGCAGCCCTCCACCTACCACCTTAACTCCTCTTGCTGAGTAACCTAACACATCACAAGTTCTTGGGATTAGGAAGTAGGACAGCCTTAGAAAGGTGTTACCCAACCTACCACACAATCTCTCCTCTTCTCCCATCACATCCCAACTCCTTCACACAATTCCCCATACCCACACCTTCAGCCTCTGAATGACACACACTCTGTTCTCCAGTTACACAAATCTTTTCATCTTTTTCTAATCAATGTATACCTATCTGTGCCAAAACAATTACAACTCATCCTCCAGGGCTCAACTCAAAGGCTACCTCCTCTCTGAAGCTTTCTCCAACTCCCAGTCTAATGAATGCCCCCCTCAAGACACTCACCAGGCTTTCGTGTACCCCAACTGTACATACTGCATGGCTCCCTGTAACTATCTGTTTACATCTCCTTGCTCAGTCTTAAATGGAGAGCCCTTCAATGACAAGAAATCAGACTCACTTCCTGAGGGTACCAGATCATAGTCTAGGGCCTGGCAAAGAGCAGACATTCAGAGAGTATTCCCGGAACTATGTGAACCAGAAGAAGGCTTCCCCAAGGTGCCCTCAGAGCTAGTTCAAATGATCATTCCAAAACACCTCAATTATCCACAGTTTAGCTTGATGCACAATTTACTATCATGTGGAAGAATCTCTGTACCACAAGTGACACCCAGCATTACACTGTATTGCTAACCTTTGAGGCCAATTCTAGAATAACTGATAAAATTAACCTCAAGGGAAATAAAGGGTTTATCTAAATTATTTACTGTCTTCAAAATTAAACAAGAGAGTAGATATTGCTCTAACATAACAGGAATGCCTGGCAACCACCAACAGCCCACCACACATGCAGCCCCTCTCCAGGAAAGGCTGGGAGGTGTGTGGCTACTGTAAGTGGCACCGTTTAGAAACAAACTGCCCTTGCAAAAGGATATATGCACATATTGTAATAGAGTTATTTTTGTTAGAGGGTGGTTATTAAGAAAACAGTTTCATTTAATGTCAATACTTTGTTACTGGATGTTCATACTCTAGCAAGAAACTCCCATCTGGAGCGCAGAAAGACTAAGAAAGGAAATGCTGAACCAGCACGATTATCTGCTTTTTAAAAAAATATTGATATAGTTTGAGTGTTTTAAAGATATGCTTCCATTGAGACCGACTTTTAAAATGTGAGCTCTGGAATTAATTTTAAAACATACTCCAAAAATCACTTTCACGTTGGAAAGGAAGTTTGAAGGGAGAGAAAATATCCTCCACACAGAGAAATGGAGGGCGCGGGTTCAGCACCATGGGCAGCGGCTCGCGGCTGCCTGTGAGACTCCTTGCTCAGGCCGGGAGTTCACATGTCAACTGCCCCAAAATCTAGTGTTCACGCTGTGTAAGATGGAGCAATTCTAACACGCGCACAAGTGTTTTTCTTTGTCATGATTCAAACCAATAGCCTTCTTCACCAAGGGGATGAACAACTTCCAAATACCAAAATCTGCTTCAGTGATCACCTTTATAATTAAATCCTGAGATTTCTGAGAAAATCGAAAGGACTTTGCACAACACAGGGCTGCACGCCCAAGAACAGGACTCATGGAGGTTACTACACAGCACCTAGCCTTGGGTGGCTGATTGTTCCAAGGACCGCGTGAGACTTTTCAAATTTATAAATGCAGCATGTGCTTAGGTGCTCTCCAACAAGGAAAAGGGTCTCTGCTTTAAAAGAGCTAAGACGCACCCATGTTTTGAATGTTTCCTCACAGACAGCTAAAATTTTTCACCATAAAGCTTAACGAATTTTCTCAAGTATTAACAGAGGCATCTGGAAAAGTCACATTATGAGGACAAATATCACCCATACCTGGTACTACCTGTGACAGCAGATACAGAGCTCAGAATTTTAAGATAGTGTGGCCAATCTTTTCAGCTATAAAGACTAATTTACTACCAAACCTTTTTCAAAACCTTGTGACACTATTAACTAACAAATAATTTAAGTCACATAAATTCCAAAATATGCACTGAACTTGTGCTGTTTGAACAGAACATCTACACACAAACGGAAACAACACTGTTTGAAGCAGAAGACCTCAGCTGGCCAGCAACTGCGCTTGTATCTGAGGCCTGGGCCTGCTGACACCTCTCACACCGGACGACACCACCCAGAACTTGCCCAGCTGCTCCGAGGTTCAGTGCTCCTCCAGGGCGAGCTGTTCTGCAAACACTCTCAATGGGCCAAAACGGACTTGCTGAGACCTTCTTAGATGACGAACTGCCCTTGCGTACGACGGGACTGGAGTCTGCTCCCCGCCCCAGGGAGGCACCCCACGGGCGCTCCTGTGCCCGCTCTGAGGACGTCCGCAGAACCCCAGACGCCAAGTTCAGCGTGAGGGACGCCGGGCCCTGCGCCTGAGGAGCCGCCCCACACGGCCGCGCTCCTCTCCGGCAGCGCCAGCCCGGGCAGCCCGGGCAG